GGGGAAACAGGGTAGTTAATACACTCAGACAATACAGTCAGGATACATGCACTGAGAGTCCACACACCCAGACACAAATAGCTGGACTCACACACAGATCACATGCATTCACGCAAATACACACACACACACACACACACACACACTCATCATTCATAGTATATCTACAGTCAGATAAACACACCCACCCAGGGTCAGGGCCCTGGGAAGGATGGAGCTCGGGGTGCTGAGGGAGTCAGGGAGAGGGAAGGGCAGGGACCCCCCAGGTCACCACTTTCTCCTTCTCCTTGGAGCAGTAGCAGGCAAAGTCCTTGGAGATGATGTCGGCGTACTGGAGAAGCACATTGCTGATGGTCTAGGAGGAACACGGGGTCAGAGGAAAGAATGGAGCCAGGGTAGACCCACATCACCAGTCCCACCAAGAGCTGCTAGTGTGACCAGGGATGAACCTGAACCTGAAATAGCCTACCGACTTGGGATTATCACTGAGACTCTGGTTGACCCACATGGGGAGACATCACCAGATAAGGACACTTATTTTATGTGGACCCAGCTCTCTATTTCTGAGTGACCAAACATCATACGATATATTATCCCAGATCCAGCCACACACCTGACCTGATCCCTAATCTAATTGTAATTCCCAGCTGCCATCTATCATTTCAGCCCAGCATTTATATATATATATATCCAGATATATATATTTCCAGTCCAACAAAACCCAAACTCAACTCAGTTCAATGATCCCAATCCCAAATTCATCCCAAGGTCTACCCAAATTCTACACAAATCCAAACACACATTCCAACGCAATGTCAGGTCAAATTGCCACCCTCATAGTAAACAGTGGAACTGCTGGATGAACCTTGGACTGTTAACCACAGGGTCAGTGGTTCAAGCCCACAAGCCACTCCATGGGTGACATCAGGCTTTCTGCTCCTATAAAGAGTTACAGACATGGAAACCCCACTTAGGGTTGCTGGGAGCTACAATTGACTTCATGGCAGTGGGTGGATAACAACTCTAAACTCCAGCCTCGAATTTAACTCTAACCTTACCACAGCTCTAACCTCAAACTCAGCTTCAATGTCCACCTCAATGACATCACCGACCTCAAGTCTAATCTCAAACCTCGATTCTAGACTGAACCTGAACCCAAAAAGCAACTTCAGTGATATTGTCAACCCCAATCCTAGGCTCAACTCCACCCCCAACCCTGATTTCAACCTTAACCTCAACTAAAACTTCAATGATACCACCAACTGTAATCTCAACTCAAACCTCAAACCCTAAACTCAACTTTTAACTCCAACCTCAACTCTAACTTCAGTGACCTTGTTAACCCCAAACCTAACTTTAATCTCATCTTGACCCCAACCCCAAACCCAGCTCTACCCCCCACCCCCTACTTCATCCCCACTCCCACACCTTGGCAAAGCGCCTCATGTAGTGCCCCACAATCTGAGGGTCAGGGCACTCCAGCTTCTTGATGATCTCAAAGCTCTGGTTCAGCTGAGAGAAGACATCCACCACGGAGCAAGAGAACAGGGCATGCTCGGAGGTTTGCTGGAACTGCAGTGGGAAGGAGACCAGGGAGGGGGATAGGAGTCAGAGCCAATATGCCTTAGAGCCCATCCCTCCCATTCTTCTTTGAGAGACCCAGAGGCCAGAGTCCAGGGCTGCAGCCATCTGCCTGACTACAGGCACGTCTGGCCAGCCTGTTGAATTCACCACTGGCCTGAGGCCAGAAGCAGAGGGCAGAGTGGAGTCGGAGCCAACCTTCAGGGGGGGACTCAGAGATCACAGGGTGGAGGTATGGGACCTAGGCAAGGTTTGATGAACTTGAATTCCATATTTGTTGAACGGACAAAAGACTGTGAAAGCCCTGGAAGAGACAAAGATGGCAGACCCCTTCCAAGATGGGCTGCGTCCCGATGGAAACTCAACTTTGCCCCATTACATCCCAGAGGGAGTGAGGCCACTGGGGGTGGACTGGGGGCATGGTCATGGATCTGCTTCTCACCCCATCCTTTTTGTCTCGCTCCAAGGCTCCGTGCAGGAAATCCCGGGACACCTCCTCGTTCTCATCAAGCCACTGGATGACAAAGGGCTCAAACCACCTGGAACGGGAGGACCAGGGATGGACCAGGGATGGACGCTGCTGCCTCTTGCCCCTTCTCCTTCTGCTCTGCCTGGGTCTAGTCCAGCACTGAACGGTGCCGAAGGCAGGGTTTTCTGTCCTGACCTCCCACTACCTCACCATGTGGTCTTGAGAACCTTCTCCCCACTGCCCTCCCCTAGCAGAACTCAGTTTCTTCATCTTTGAAAAGGACGGAGCAGCCACTGTCCAGAGTAGGGACCAGCCTTCCCGGAGTCCTGGTTCAGATAAACTGAGCCCCAATTGCAGGCCAACAGGTTTACTCTCTGAGATTCCCTTGTATATACATTAGGAGAGAGCATCTACAACATCACAAAGCTGAGCCATGAATGGGAGCACGTAGTAGGTCTGCAGCAAAGGGCAGCCACTCTGCCATTCTCTAACATAGGATGGAGTCCAACAACCCAAGTTCAAATCCTAGCTCTGTCATTTACTGGACTTCACCTTGAGCCAGTTGTTCAACCTCTTGTATCAGTGGATGGATAACAGGTAGGTGGATGGATAGATGGGTGAATGGGTTGGACAGGTGGGAGAATGAGTGGGCGCGTGGACGGATGAGTGATGAGTGGGTGATGAATGAAGCAGACACTGTTTCTTTCACACACAATGGAGGTGATAACGAGCCCACCTTGGAGAACCAACAAATGGATTAAAGGAAGAAAAGCAGGTGGGACGATTCAGTATGGTCATTGGACTTAGTAAGATCATTAATTTGGGGGCTCTACTCACTGCCATCGAGTAAATTCAGATTCACAGGGACCCTACAGGACAGGAGAACTGCCCCTGTGGGTTTCCGTGATTGTGAGTCTTAATGGAAGGAGGGAGCCTCGTCTTTCCCGCTTGGAGTGGCTGGTGATTACAAACTGCTGACTTGGCAATCAGCAGCTCAATGCATAACTTACTATGCCAACAGGCCTCCTTGTGGGCTAAAGGAATCCATTATCCAATGTCTGGGAGTCAAGAAAACTGGACTTGGGCCCCACTTGTTCTCCTGGCTCCCAGGTGACCCTGACTAGGTCAGCCCTCCTCCCTGGGCCTCATCCTAGCTGTTAGTTCTACCGTCCTGGCTTGAGCTTGGGCTTGCGCTAGTGGACTTACGCAGGGTACTCAGGTACACGGTCCTTGAAAGAGGGAAGCTCCGTCACATACTCATTGTAGAGCCACTTGACCTTGAAGTGGAGGTTCATGTAGTCGGCACTCTTGCATAGGCGGTGCTTGTCATGCTCTGGCGGTGAGGGGTGGGGAGGGGTGCAAGAAAGAGGCAGCTCAGCCAAAGGGGTCTGCCAGCTACGACTGCCCACTCTGGCCATCACTGGTGCCCACACCTCCTGGCGTGAGGGTCCAGAATACTCATAGCCTTGGTGGGGACACTGAGGTACAAGAACCCCCTGCAGCCGGGCTGGAGGGCACGAGAGTGGGGGCTCACCTTCCATGGCATACTTCATGTCCTGCGCAAACAGATTCCACATCACTTCGGCACTGATTTTACCCACGTTCAGCTCCTGGGGAAACCTGGCAAAGGTCGCAGGAGTGTGAAACCTTGGCAGATGGCACCAGCTACTTTGCCTTTACCTGCCCCAGGGGGCAGTGTGGGGCAGGTCAGGGGAAGGGGCTCCATCTTCAAGTTTTCTTCCAGCCATTGGCTTGCTGAAGGATTCTACATGAAGATATTACTTCTCCTGAGCCTCCATCCATCCATCCATCCATCCATCCATGCATCTATCCATCCATGCACCCACCCACTATATCATGCATCCATCCATCCACTCATCCATTCACCCACCTGCTCAACTGAAGTGCAGGGAGCTGCTTCTGTCTGTCCCTTCTACCAGCGTCTTGTCATCACCACACAACGATGGAGCAGGACTGACAAATAAGGCGCTCGTGGCTCAACAAGGAGGTTCCACAGTTTTTGCTAATGAAATAAGATGCTTGGAACCCATGTAGGGATTGGTCCGTTTGGCCATCTCACCAGGCTTAAAGGGAGCCAGTCCCAGAGGTCGGAGGAGAAAATCCCACAACCGTTAAGACAAGGGCCAGAGATCCTGAGACCGGAAGAATGAAATCGTGGCCAACTATCATTACCAGTGACTCTCAAAGGGACCACATGAGAAAGTCCTGGAACGAGTGGGAGGAAAATGTAGAACAAAACTCAAACTCAAAAAAGACCAGACTGTCTAGATGGATGAAGGGGATCACCTCGAGACGAGGGCCCTGAATTACACTTCAAGCCTGGAAATGGATGTGGCCCCCTGGCCAATGAACAGACAGGTCTATAAGGTACGAGATACCTTACAACAATCAACCATTGGCAACTTAAAAAGGCACCATTTTCCCAGGGTCAAAGTTCAGCAAGGCTAGGGAAGGGAAGGAAGGATGAGCTAGGGAAGAAAGACAGTTGGACACAGGGAGGTCAGGGGGTGAGGGGGGAGTGCTGTTACATTGTGGGGACTGAAATCAATGGCATGGAACAAAACGGGTGTCAACTACTGAATGGAAAACGCCTATGCTCTGTAGACCCTCTGTAGACCCTCACCCAAAGCATGATCCACAGTTAGGAAAAAGAAAAGGGAGCCGAGCAGGTCCCTTGGACCCAGGAGCCCAGGGCTGAGACCCTCCTGGGCCCTAGGAGGCAGAGAGCTGTGCATGTGGCGCATGACCAGCAGTCTACGCTCGCTGATTCCTGGAGTGGGAGAACGGAGTAGGCTTCCGGGTGGAGGTGGGGTGTCTCCAGGCCCTCGGTAGGGCTAAAGAGCTTTGTGACACTTGTCTAAGGGGGGCAGAGGCAAGAGCCAAAGCCAGCTCATGGGCACGGCTGAGAAGAAGCCGTCCTGATTGAAGAACTGGATAGTCACTCCTGTTACTTCCAAGTTGATCCTGACCCTGCTTTGTAGTGTGTTCTTTCCCTCATAACCCCCATCATCGTGAGTATGGTCTGTGAGGTCTCTGCGGGCATCGCATCGCAGGAAAAAAGTAGGGAGTGCCCTGAATGTACCAGCTGGGCCAGACGTGTTTCAAAAAAAAGTTTGGAAAGTGAAGGTGTATCTCACCTCCACCTCATAGGAATCAACTCGGAGCTGGTGCTGATGTTGATCTTTCTCTCTCCCCCTGGAGTTAGACATAGTCCAATGCCAGGATGTTTCTGTACCACTGCCCACCCATTCTTACATCCCTCCAACCATTCATCCATCCATCACCCACCCATTCATCTACTCATCCATCCCTCTGTCATCCATCTAGTTATCCATGTGTTATTCATTCACATATTACCCATCCATTCATCACCCACCCACTTGTCCATCCGCCAGTCCATTCATCCCCACTTCAATCTACTCATTTAAAATATTTGACCTTAACTCCATATCTCCGTAACCAGAAGAAGTTAGCACCCTAGACTTAGAGGCCCTCTAGGACCACCTTGGGAAGCTCTAAGAGAACACAAAAGCTCATTCAGTTACACATAGATGAAAATTCCTACAGCCACATAAACTCACAAACCAAAAGTGTCTACTCACTTATACAATTATATAACATATATAATAACCCAAGATACAACATCTTTAACTGCATTCTATAATTATACACATACACAGTTTAACCCTAGGCCACAAGTATACCACAAAATTATATGCTCTCATGTGTATGCTATACCACAATTAGACCTGATCATCTCTCTACACACGACACACAGTTGCATGAACTCTCACGCGGCGACCCTCAGAGAGTTAAAGTCACAGACGCACTACTCACTGGTTGAGGCAGGGAGTGTAGGAATTCTTGTCTTCCTCAATGATGGACACGATGAGGGTGATCAGCTTGGACCAGAAGTCCAGGTTCTTGATACTGGGGCCCTGTTCCTCTGGGGGAACCTCTCCCTTCTTGGCCTGAGAGAGGAGGTGGAGACACTGGTCAGGAGGGGCTCAGGGGAGGGCACCTCAGGCAGTTCGATAGTGCCTGAGGGTCAGCGGGGTGACGAGGGGGGGCTTGATGAAGAGGTGTTGGCAGGTGGAAAGGAACTGAACTCATGTCAACTGACCCAAACATAGTCCAGAATAAGGCAGTTCAACAAAGGTCAATTAGGCTTAACTCATCAAACGGAATAGAAATGGAGGAAATTTGACTTTGTTAAATAGGCTCAAATTCCACTAAATCAAATGGAATGAATATGAATTCAGATCAAACCTATTTGGCTAAACAGAAATTAACTTTCTTCAGGGTCAATTCAGTGCAACTAGACTTGGGCCAATTCCACCAGATGGAATAGAATTAAACTTAACTGGATGGACTTCAATTCAAGTTAATGCAATTGGATTGAATCTAAGCAATCTGCCCAAGATCAACACCAACCTAAGTTAAAATCATGGGCGGATAATTTACCTCAACTGAACTCAATCCAATCTAATTCTCCCTATAACAACCCAATTTAACATAGTCAATTCAACCTAACTTTAATCAACAGAAGCAAGTGTAGCTAAATGGAATGGGTACAACCCAACCCAACTCAACTGGAATGGACTGAACCTACCTCATCAATCCAGTTCCCTTTAACCAAAGCCAACTCAACCCAGTCAAGAACAACTTCACTTGGAGGCAAAAGCATGAAAATGAACGTCTACCAATTCAGCTCAGCTCC